GGCCCAATAGCATGAGAGCAAGGCAACTAGCCCTGCTCCTTGCTCCCTGTTACAGTGGATGAGGTAGCTGGGGCATAGACGGAGAACTCATACTGCTGGCAAGGATGAGGTAAAACTGACCAACTCAGCTACCAGTCAAGTCCAGAAACAATTATGAGTTGGCTCACTCTAACATCCACTTCATCTGTGAATTGCTCGAGCATATGAAAAGGCTGAACCATCAGACTCAAAGTTGAAGGATCTCCATGTTACAAGTTAACAACAGGATATTCAGGAAAAGACCCAATGAGAGTACAGCACTAAATACACAGAGAAACCAGAGGCTTCAAACCCAGACCAATGACTTATTGCAATGAAAACTCATAGAAAATATATTGGACTAAAGAGTTCACTTACTGTGTGACTCACTGTGTCACACTGCAGCTTCTATGAAGAGACGTTTTGTTGTGTTTGTTTTTGTTTGTTTGTAGATATGAAGGGACAGGAGACTAATGAGCGCAGAATGAATGATGTGAAATCCACAAAGAAGTAACAAAGAGCAAAAAAGAAAACAAAAGGTTTGGGCTTTGAGACACGAAATATTTCGATATAAAACATGCATACACACACACACACACACAGTGAGAGACAGAGAAAGACAGAGACAGAGATAGAAAGAAGACCTATTAGTTTCAAGATGTTGAACAATCTAACAAGTATCTTTAAAACAACAAACAGGATAAGTGAAAATGAAAGAACCAAGCACCTTTGATGTTAGTAAGAACTACACTTTACTTAAGAGTAATAGAATGCCCCAGGAGAGTTGGAGGGGGAGAAGTATGGAGTTATTAAGTCTGTAAGTTCTAGTATAATCTTAATTAAAATTCAAACAAAGAGAAATATAAAAGTGATTTTTCTTCAGACCACCAATACAGAATTCTTGCCAGCTGAAGTCTTCCAAATGTAATGGCAGCTCCTCAAGTATCACGAATAAAATGATAGCAAATAGAGTAACAAACTGTAGTAGATTACAATTTATAATTCTTCTCACAGTAATTCAGTAAAAATTTTAAATGTGTGCATGAAATTTCAAAACTTGACTTATAAAAAACTGAGCCATTTTCTTGAGCAACGTATGTTGAAATAACATTATATACACTTTATTTATTCAAAAGGAATTAAGTGTGGCTATAACTCAGAACTTACCATATATTAGTGTGCCTTTGGCATTAATTCAGGGACAAAGCAGTGCAAATTGGAATGAATCCCTGTCTGCAATTGAGAGACCTCAAGACATGACAATCCCACTAGCAATATCGATTTGAAAAACAAGCACAGATGAGACACAAATACAATTTTCGATGAATGTGAAACCCTTCAGTAACAATAAGACTTTGGTGACACTGAATTTGGAGCTCAAATATGTACTGTTAACACATGAATGCACTTCACATAGGGACTCTTATTAATGGCCAAGTGAGGTAGACATGGGTGAAATAACAAAACCTGATGTAACATCTGTTTGAAGTCCCCAATATCTCTCAGAAGCTGTTTCTCTCGCTGTACCACAGAATAAAACTAAAGATATTTTTCCTTCTATTGGTGTAAAGAGCCAATCTATTAACCTTAAGCTAAGCTATGACTAGGAAGCAAAAGTAACAAAGAGCAAAAGCATACATTAATGTTTAAAATATAATCTGACCACAACAATTTCAAGCAAAGTATATGTTATTCAGAATTTAGTGCATATACATGGAGCTTTATTCATTTCATACATGTGTAAGTTTCTAGAATTTTCTTAACGTTTGCCAGCAAGAAGTGCTTTTTAAAAATTTAAAAAGAACCGCATGGTGGTGACACATGCCTATAATCCCAGCACTTGGGAAGCAAAAGCAGTAGGATTTCTGTGAGTTCCAGGATAGCCTGGTCTACAGAGTGAGTTTCCAGACAGCTATGACTGTTGCACAGAGTAACCGTGTGTGTGTGTGTGTGTGTGTGTGTGTGTGTGTGTACAAAAATGATTGTTTTACAGAGGACATTAAAGATGTCATTGTGCTGGTTGTTTAATTGCAAGATATTAATGAGTGTGCAAATATATATGCTATACTGAGGCTATTCTGAATTAAAAACCAAGAAAGCAACAGTTTAGTGAGATTTGTACTCAGTCAGTCTTGACTATTTCTAATCGTTTGATAATTATTTGTGTTAGCAATGCAGGTGATTATACTGTAAAAGATCTTCTTAATTGTAATTTTCAGTATGTTCACAATTTAGATATAATAGGTAGCACTGCCATAAGACAACATGAATCCCTTTACCAACTAAAACCAAATTGAGCTGTGTACTTACTGATGGTAAAATGTTCATAATTTGATTTCCACAATGATCATGCAAAATGAAGGAGGAAACCATTAGCTTAAGTGTTGTTTACTATTTGTAAAACGACAAAAAATCCTATAGTAAAATGACTTAAAGAACAATTTGTAAGTAATTTTAAAAGTTAAGAAAATTGTAACTTAGATATAAGTAATGGAAAACATTCTGGGTTAATATTTGGTCCACAAAATATCTGTTTTGATGCTGTTTCTTCCTGCCAAAACCATGTTCCAGAGAAACTGTAGAAATGGATACTCTCCATTGTGACAGTGGTAGATCTCATTGAATCTGTATGCAAATACTGAGAACGGAATGGGAAGGATTCTAGAAAGTAGCATCACCTAGTGATTATGGCTGGGACTGTGTCTTGACAGGGATGGCCATAACCACAGCACACATGACTGCTGATGAGCCAAGGTATGAAAGAGAAGAGTCAGGGGAATCCAGCAAAGGCTTGAAAACATCCTGACAAAGCAGACCAAGGCTCCTTTACTCTGAGCATTTTTAGAAGGCAACATACTTTTCCAGTTTGAGTTGGTTTTACTGTTAATAAGAGCCAAGATATTATAATGACTTTATTTTTCATGTTTATCATTATATCTTGAATTTATTAAATCATATTATGAGCTATATTTCAAAATAAAATATTTTAAAAATTTATCCCAAACACCTAATTGGATTTTAATTGCTAGAGTTGGGATACGGCTTGCAGGGTGTCCCTTGAGCAATTGCGTGCTGAAATTATTCTCCAAAGGCACAAAACCCTGACCTCCAATTTGTGGTCCAGAGACATGTCTATATGTGGTGATAAAATGAAGATCAGCTCCCTCGAGTGGAGCCTCCATGGTTGAAGGTTGCAGGCTACTGAATTCAAAGGGCAGGGAGAGAATGACCAGAGGGGGACACATCTATGTTCCCTTTATCTTGTAATAGTATAGCCACTTTTGGCATCTATCACTAAGAATTACTACATGTGGCTTGCCAGAACTTGATTTGTAAAGTATCACACATTTTTTGACATTTATTGTGATTACATCGTGACAATATCTTACATGGAGTACTGAATGTATGTCAGTCTGTAAACTAATGAAACAGTCAACTATTCCTCATGAAAACTTGCTCCACATTAGAACTGCTTTTGAATGTCTGATCTATTAATTGTGAATGATTTCATAAACAAATTTCAAGTCACGTAGTTATGAACATTTAGAAATACAAAACAGAAACAGAACATTAAAATGAATATAAATACTTTCACACATATCATCATTGACGTGCTAGGTTTATTTATCACCTTCTTAGGTTTCAAAGAATTGAGAACATTAAAATACATTTTAACAGTTTCCATTTAACAACTTTGAAAACTGGAGCAAGATACATATGTGCTACAACATCTGTAAAAAGCAGTCATCTATTCAAGAGATTTGGCAATGTATGTGGAAAAGGAGTACAGAGACAGGCTGAAGGCATCTCTGTTTGAATCAGCTTTGATTTATCTCTTTCTTCTTCAAGGCACTTAGGTACATTTTTTTCATTACCATGAAATTCCATTGCTAATAAACTTCCATTGCTAACTAGGATGATGCAATGTTATTTTAAAAAAATACAATACAACTTAAGAATGAGTAAAATTGAAATATGAAGGAAATGCAGTGACAAATTTTATGGTAAACACAGGAAGCTTGCAATTTCTACTGAGGCATTAGGATACTGCATTACTAAGCTGTGACAAGACTACATCCGCACACCTGGTAAACCATTTACTAAGCACTTGTACACATACGAAGGAAGTAGTCTATATTAGGTTTAGCAATCATTGTTCAAATGTTTGAACACTTACACAGATTAAATAACCCAGAAGTTTTGTCATGAACTGATATACCTATGTCCTGTCTAGTCCTGGCATTTTACCAACTCTGCTTTTTGATATTAAAAATACTCATGAAGTGGTGATTCTGAAAGCCAATGCATCTGAGTGTGCACATGGGTTCCATACACACTGCTAAGACTATATCAGTACTCATGCAAACATAAGCTGTTTCAAGACCTAAAAACAAGAAATAGTTAAAAGGCTTATTCCACCCTTTACACAAATAAAAACAAGGGTTTTTTTTTATAAAAAAACTATTCATAAGATTAACCATATATACTAATAGAAGACAACACAGATTTGGTCTATCAGCTTTCCTGTTTATATTTCATACACATGTAAATGTACATGTGCATATACAAACATTTTCAGGTGTTCAAAATAAATCACAAGAAAAAAAGCCATTCAAATGAGATGCTGAAATGTTTGTTTAAAATTTCACATTGGAATAGTGTTTAAAACTATAAACAGGGAGAAAATATTAAACTGGTAAATTTGAATATCTTTGATGTAAAAGAAATCCTTGCAAATACAAGTTTGATGGGGAAGTTCTGTGTATATGTCAATAAAGCACTGTTGGCCAATAGGGAAGCAAGATAGGTGGGACAAGGAGTCGAGGCAGACTCTGGAGAGGAGAAACACAGGGAGTCAAGATGTAGCTGTGATAGGGGTAAGAAGTTCGTAACTATTCTCCGGTAAGAGAAATACTTAGATTAACAATTATGGGGTAAATACTTAAGTCACAGCTAGCCAGTAAGAAACAAGCAAGGCCAACAGCTTCATAATTAATATAGCCTCCTGTGTGTTTATTTGGGACTGATGCGGCTCTAGAACCAGGCTGGCAGGAAGGCTTCCCTTTACACAATTTATAAAAGAGAAAAATATCTCAGGTTCTTGAAACACTAATTCACAACTATGAAAACATTAATGGTAAAAAATATAGGACGAAAGGTAGAAAGAACCTTGGCTATGTAAAAGAAGCTTTTGAAGTGGTAAAATAAAAGAACAGTGGGTATTTTTTCATATATTATAGTGAACCTGCTGAATGCTGAGAAAATATTTAGTTTCTTGGACAATACAGAAATATTCATTTGCCGATACAAGGAAAAGGTGCAGTTGTCATGAAATTTCTGTAAGGAATTTGGGGAATGAATCAAAATCATCTGTAAATTGGTTTTAAAACATTAGTTAGAGCTTTTTTGTTTGTTTTAGAAAGGAATTGGAAGATTCTCAGTAGTAGTTGGGAACAATGCTTATCTTCAAGACACTTTGGCAGAAGACAAAACCCAGCAGGAAAGCAATACAGTAGCATATACACTAACCAAGAACTTAAATCAAGGAAATACTATTAGCCAAAGTTAAAAACCACTAAAATAATATGTAAATAGCTTCTTGAGTATGTTGGATTTTATCATTCCAAGACATCAAATCAAAAGGAGTAATTATAAACAAAATTGTTCTAAATCACACAAAATATTAGGGATAATATGCAGTGAATTTTAGCAGAATGTATTTCTGCAATATTTTCCTTATGTTTATTTTTATTCTCAATTTTTTCTTATTCAAACCAGCAGATGTGCAAAGAGTATATATATATATATGTATATGTATTCATATGACTTATAAAAACAAAATCAGATATTTTGCATTTCTAAAGTATTGTCTATGGAAAATACATACTATTAATATAAGAAGTAGAAGGTTGTGATATATGGTAATATAAAAAATGACTAAACAATCCAAAATAGAAAAAGAACAAGAAAGTCAAGAAAGAAAAATGTAAAATAGAAAGCAGCAGTAACAACAAAGCTTTTTCACACCTTTGGTTTGAGTGGATAACTTTGTGAAGGTAGTGAGTAAATTCCTCATAAAGAACTCTTACCTTTCATTTCAAATGGTTTTGAGGTAGTATATATGAAAAGCCAATATGACAATATGTTTGTAAAAATGTCTAAAAAATGAGCTAAGTAGTATTGATGGAAAGAAGACAGGAGTCCTGTGGAATGGGCATCAAAATAAAACACATGCTAAAAACAGATCAAATGACATAACTTCACTTTGTTAGAATACCAACCAAGGCCAAAAGAAAATCCACAACTAACACAGTCCTAAAAACCTAATAAAAGGAGGTGGAGGTCTATAAAATAAGGCACTTATCTTTCTCACCCTGGGATAGATTCATATAACATAAATAATCCTTTTAAAATATTGACTTTCTTTTGAGTTTCTGAATTGCATAGATATGACTTTTGTAACATAAGCATGTAAAGAAAACCTAAATATATATCTCAATGAAGTGCATGGGTGTGATGGGAGGGATTTAAGATGAATTTAAGTGTCCAACAACTACATAGATACAGATTTATAACATGAGGAAATATAAAAAGAAAAGCTTTACTGTATCAGCACAATTAGTAAGAAAACACTCATATTACATTAAAGACACACAAAATGAAACAAAAAATACAACATTCCCTCTACCACCATTTTAATGTAGGCTACTAGAAAGCCGAACATACCAGGATGTATGTATGTATGTAGTTATGTGTGTATATTACCACTATTTCTTGGTACTAAAAACATTAATTGAAAAGTGAAATTTGTTATTTCACTGAGTTCTGACTAGCAATTTCTAAATTTTTGAGTTACAAAATATAAAAAGAAAGAAAAAAATACTTCCATGAAAATGTTAAATTCCTCTTGATGAAAAATACACTATCATTAAATTTGTTTGGGGCACTGTTTCATAGGAGAAATTAAAGCTCGAAACATTATTAAAACAAAAGAATAAAATATGCAATAAATACAAGTATTGGTTTCACTTAGTTCAAAATATAATAAAAATGTAACCAATTACACTGTTGTAAATACTCAAATAAGAAAAAATATTGTTTTTTAATTTGAGGAAACACCCTGTAAAACAAACCAAGCTTCTAACATATTATTGCATTTTCATACACACACAAGAAATGTTTTTGTATACAAAATTCGTTGCACAAGTGTAATGAATTAGCAGCCACGAAGGTTTGAAGCTTACCCTTATAGCACCCTACAGGCGGAGAGCAGTATTGTTCTCCTAGCTGCTACTCAGATTGGAGAGGTAGAATTTTTTGTTGTTGTTGTTGTTCAGTGCTTCTGACCCAGTGCAATGTTGAGGGCTTTGGAACCCAGGACGCGGCCATTCATCTCAGCCATTGCTTTAGCAGCTGCCTCAGGAGAGAAGAAGCAGATCAAGCCAAAGCCTTTGCTCTGCCCTGCTTCCTGCATCACCTTAACTCTGCAAATGGACCCAAAGGAAGAAAATTCCCTGCGCAATGTTTCATCATCGATGGTTTCATCCAGGTTCTTAATGTAAAGCTTCGCAGCTTGACGTGCACGGATTCTTTCCTTTTTCATCTGTTCAAACTTTTCCTTTAACTCAGCCTGGCGTTCTACCTTCTTCTGAGCTCTGCCTACAAAAATTGTCTGCCCGTTTATATCCTGTCCATTCATTCCTTCAACTGCATTTCTGGCAGCCTCATGGTTATAAAAACTCACAAACCCAAAGCCTTTGGACTTACCATTGGCATCTTTCATCACCTTGACGCTCAAAGTTTGACCGTATTTGCTGAAAATGTCCTTGAGGCCCTCATCGTCCATATCATCCCCAAAGTTTTTGATGTACACATTAGTGAATTCGCTGGTTTTGCTTCTGAGCTCAGCCTCCCGATCCTTACGGCTCTTGAATCTGTCCACAAACACTGCACAGTCCCTCAGCAGCTTCCCGTTCATCTCCTCTATCGCCTTGTCTGCAGCACTCTGGTCCTGGTAATGCACGAAGCCATAGCCCTTGGAGCCTTCTTCATCGCTCATCACCTTGGAGGATAGGATCTTTCCAAAGGGTGAGAAGTGTTCATACAAAGTTTTGTTATCAATGGATTTGTCCAGATTTTTAATAAACACGTTCCCTATTCCCGATTTCCTCAGGTAGGCATCCCGCTGAGACCACATGAGACGGATGGATTTGCCTTGGATCAAGTCAAAGTTCATGGTGTCTAGGGCCTTCTGGGCATCATCCAGCTGGAGAAAGTTGACATAGGCATAGCCTAGTGAACGACGGGAAACCAGATCCCTGCAGATGCGTATGGACAACACGGGTCCCACTGTGTTGAACTTCCTAAACAACACATCCTCAGTGACATCTTCGTGGAGGTCTCCCACATATAGGGAAGCGGCACGATACTTGGCTTCCAAGCTCATGTTTTTCGTTGTTTTGTTTTGCTTGCTTTTTTGTCCCTCCCAACACTACGAGTCTGTTCCCAGCAGCAACCAAGGACTAATATACTTCAAGCAGGGAAGCCAGATCACAGCCCAGGGCCTGATCCTTTCTGGTGGCCTCTGATGACCACTTAGTGGGCCAGCTGCAGGGCCAGTTGTATTTCCCCAAGTCAGACAACACCCTCTTTATTTAAAAAAAAAACAAGAAAAGAAAAGAAGTCAGAACCAATGTCCTTTCCTGGTTGTTGGCAATCTGCCTTCAACTTTCAGTGGCCGACTTTCCTTCCCTTCCAACTCAGGAACAACTTACATGTGGCTGGCCAGGACAGGCCGTCCATCTGCGTCCATCCCAGCAGCTGGTGGCCGCTTTCCTAGCACAGACAGGCCTTGTTCCTCTGGCTTAGCCTTCCAGCCACGCTGGGAGCTGGCAAGGCCGCGGGGGCGTGCAGCTCAGGCCCAGCGCTGGAGGCCCCGTCCCGCGCACGGTGCGGAACTCAACTCGCCCCCGACACCGCTGTGCGCGCGCGCCCAGGCCCGGTCCCTGGCCACCCACCCCGCACCCTGGTGGCGGCTCCCAGAGGAACCTAGCTGAAGACTGTAGCTCACCAGTCTGCAGGTTGCGGACGGCGGGAACCCGGAAGCAGCTGGCTAGCACTCTTTGCTCTTTCACAGTTTTGGGGGGCCCGTGTTCCTCCTCCGCCCCTCTCTCTCGCTCCCCACCCTTAGTTGCTGGGCTCAGGGCAGGAGGCGGTGTCAGGGGTGGAGAAAGTGGCTGGGGGTGTGGCCGGGCAACCCACCACCAAGCTGCTCCTCTTGGTCTGTTTGGTCTAAACCAGCCTGCCCAAGGATCAGGGTCCTGCAACACCAGGAGACAACTCGCGATGGCCTTGATAACAACCTACAGGCATGCAGACCTGTTGCAACAACCTTCTGTAGAATCTCTGCTTGTTCCATTCCCACAAAACTCCGAGACAGGCTTCCTATTTTTTTTTTTTTTTGGTAAGGTACACTTTTAAACTGTTTTCTTTTTATAAAACAGATTAAACCCTCTCTGCGAACAAAACTTCCCTCCCCCCCGCATCTCTTCGGAGAGTCTAAGTTTCGTTATTTTTCCGACAGTTGCACTGTCTCACGTTTTCTTAGATGATTAAAACAGATTTTATTCCAGCATTGTCTTCCATCTGCATTTTATTTTAAGAGATTTACGGTAATGAGTGTTTTACAGGATGTCCACTATGTATTGAAAAACTCAGCTGTGTGGACTAGATGAGGGAATTATTGATGCTGTCTGGAGATAGTGGCACTTAACTCCGAGTGTGCAGCACGAGTTAAATAAATTAATAGATTTGGAAATGTCGATAAAGTATCAAGAATGAAACAGGTTCCAAATAATAGTGGATCCTCTTCCTTTAATATTAAATGAAATGTATTATGATTCCTTGCAAGCCTTACAATTTGTATCATGATGCCCTTAAAAATCAAAATTACTTAACAGAGGAAGTGAGCTATATACATCAATTTACAAAAGCAACAACAAATTTAGTAGGTTGAAAACTTTAATCAACATAGACATTGCCTAAAAACATGGTTAAAAGCAAATTCTGGCTCAATAACTTAGACGGATGGAAGACTCGACATTTCTAACTAATGAGATACAGAAAGTCTGTTGTCTGATTTACATGTTGGGTTGAAGGATTTTGCATCTAATGAGTCCAGAATTAATGGGGTGTTTTTTTTTGTAACCAGATAAACTAATATATATTTCTCCTGGGAAAGAATGTCTCAAAAGCCATTGTTAATATATATTACAAGTACTCTGATTTTCACTATAAAACACCAATTATTCTAAGCCTATTTAAAATTAATTATGTGGGAGACCAGAATATACCCTCCAATATGTGACAGGATGTTGAAGAACATTATGGATAAACAATATGATGAAAGCTGTCTGCTCTGCTCTGAAATTATTTAAAAGCAGAACATAGATTGTCTAAAACTAAAGTCGCTGGTCTTCTGTCTAGCAAAGAACTCAAGGTCAACCCCTGGAAACAACTTGAGAATCGTAGGAGGTAGAAATGGTACTAGAGGATTCTTCATTATCGAGGGGCTTATTTGACCCAGTATCTTGCTTTATAAAAATTTTGTACCTAGAGACTCAGATACCTTCTGAATTTGACACTTCCTGTTCTGCGAAAATATTCTGTTTAAGCTGGAATACAAAACCATTCCATGAATCCTCCTCCTCATCAGTCTCTTCAACTAGAAAGTAAGTCAGTAATAAATGTGCATTTATTTTTCTCCTTTAAATCTATTTCTTGTTAATGAGTTTGTTCTATCCAAGAGTCCATGAAGTGCTGAAAATATTGCTTCCATTGCAGTGATGGATTTATGGTTACTTATAAACAAAATTTGGTTGACGTTATTAGTCTTTAAGTCATCATCTTGGTATATGTTGTTGCTCCTTTTTAAATAATTTTTTTTGTAAAAACAGGTGGGGATTCCCCACACCCCAAAAATACCTTCTAGACTGTAATTTACAAGAGGGAGAAAACTCATGGCATATTAGATACTATTACAGATTTGTGCAATATGCCATTATGTACTTTTAAACTTGACACAATCTCAATGCAATCAATAGTATAAGAACCATTTCAAAGAAAGAGCCTAAGTGTGCAATCCCTGTGAAGTCTGTGTCAAGAATTTTACGTGTTGGGAATATGCCTAAGACCATATCAGTTCTTTCTGACACAAATTCACATATGCATCACAATGAAATATTTAAAGAAATTATGTTTTTCACTGTGTGTTATTGTGCTTTCATTTTTCACTCAGCATTTTGTGAAACAAAAGGAAGAGCCTGAAGATCCATCACTTAGTACCATGTATTATAGTGAAGTACATACAAGTGTTATGAACTGAGGTTGGTAGTGGTAACATATTTCTGTCAACTAGCACTGATTTTGTTGAGGCAGGAAGATTAAGAGTTCAACAGTAATCTTAGTTAAAAACTGAGTTGTAGTCCAATTTGGACCTGTTGTGAAAAAACAAAAAAGAAGAAGATAGGAAGGAAGTGTAGGAGACCAGGAGAACTCAACCCACAGAATCACCTGGAGCAGGGCTCATAGGGACTCACAGAGACTGAAGATGTCAGTCACAGCACTTGCAAGGATCTGTGCGAGGTCTTTCCCACACACCTATGGCTGTGTGGTTGGAGTTTTTGTAAGACTCCCAACAGTGGGAGTAGGAGTGTCTCTGACTCTTGCTGGCTGTTAGGACCCTTTCCATTCTGATGGGTTGCCTCACCTGGCCTGGATATGAGTGTTTGTTCCTAGTCTTATTGTACCTTGTTATGCTAATTTAGTTGACACCCTTGGGAAGCATGTTCTTTTCTGAATGGAAACAGGAGGAGAGGATCTATGGGAGAGGGAATGTGTGGAGGGATTCTGGAGGAGGGGAAGGTGAGGAAACTGTGGTTGAGATGTATTATATTAAAGAAGAATAAATAAAAAAGAAGAAAAGTAAAGATTATTATTGGTTAAATTACCAACAACGGTGCCCTTTCATTAAGCTGGCCATATGTCTTCAAAAAGTAGTTATTAACATCAGTGAATCTCACTTCTCTGTAGTTATGTAGATTTCATTTTTGGTTAGTTGTGCTCTTTTTTTTACGATTTTACAAGACAGGGTTTCTCTGTATTGTTTTCGAGGCTGTCGGTCCAGCCTGGCCTCGAACTCACAGAGATCCGCCTGCCTCTGCCTCCCGAGTGCTGGGATTAAAGGCATGTGCCACCACCACCCGGTGGTTAGTTGTGCTCTTAATCAAGAGTGTAGTTTTTGCAATTGCCCTCGCTATCTTTTCCCATTGTTCTCCTTCTTAGTATTATTGCATAGGTTTGATTTATTCATCTTTTATTCATTTTTCTGTCTTCTTGTGTATCACATATTTACCAATGGAATGATTTTGCTACCATCTTTTTCATAATATCTTTATGAGCAAAAATAGCAATTGTCATCCAAGATTTTATAAAATCCCCCACAATCCAATTATATATATATATATATATATGCATATATATATATATATATATACATATGTGTGTGTGTTCTGCAAATATGATCTTTCATTTGCTATAAATATATTTGATCCACTTTTCAAAACTCAGGGAAACCTTCATTCTGTGTTTTTAGATTCATCACAGTTTGTTTCTGTAGAACAATTACATTCCTTGAGTGCCATGACCAAGCAATTCTCATGATATACCCAGATAGAACCTCACACTTCATTAAGGCCAAGTTGAGGTTGTAGAACAAGATAGCCAGGGTTTAGAGTTAAACTTTTGTTTGCTACTCATTTATACTTCCCACTCCCTTCTAACTCTAAAGCATTTTCCTAAACAACACAGGCTGTGACAGGCTTAGAAGGTGTGATTACCCTTCCATTTCTTTGCACAGATACAATTGGTATGTGTCATTTAGGATGCACCAACTTTTACTTAGTTACAGCTTTGGGGAAGTTTTATCCTTTTCCAAATTCAAAATAATTGTAAAGACATGAAATCATTTTCATCCAGTTTTTTAACTTCTGCCTTCAAACCAAATTACTATTTTCAGATATCTATTCTTAGAATTTGACTTTTATGTGTAATCATATTTTCTGATGCTTATACTTATTTCCATACATCCAGAAGACTAGTAATTTATGTATCTGCCATTGTGGTCAGATTTTTTATTAATATTCATATTTTCTCTACCATTGTTATTATACTTTCAAGAACAGAAGAGAGAATCTCTCATACTCAGCTATTACTATGTTCATTGTTCTCATATTTTGGAACAATGGTTGTCATATCATTCTTTCTAAGATCTTGGGAATCTGGCAAAAAATTCTGCACAAATCTCACATTTTTCATAAAACTATATTTAAGAACACTGAATTATTTGTTGCTGAGTATGGGATAAAATATTATCATGGCAAATTGCCCTGGAAATAGGGATAAGAAGCTTTCTTTGAAGAATAGTTCCAGTGTATTTACAGTCTTGTAAGGTAGAGATACTGGCTCTCTTTTGGAACACTGCACAGGCATACTTCCTTTTGTTTCAATATGGGCCAGTATCACAAAGCTACGATGACTCTCTTCTTTTACTCATGGTGATACTTGTATCTCCTAGGTCTGTGCACATCACTCAGTTGAATGTGAGCCGGGAGAATTTTAATAGAGTAATGATAACATGCTAGATACTTCTCTTACCATTTAAATAAGTAAATAAAAAGTCTTGAAGTGGACTCAGCAGCATTGTTTCCTTTTATCTGTATATATTAATCTATGGTGATGTTTGTTTACAAGTAGAACAAAATCCAAGGACTTTCCTTGTTCTTTATATTACTGGAGAGTAGACAGATTCCTGACAGAGACAGAGCTTTCTCTTAGATCATCTAAAGAGGCTAATGGAAAGGAACCAAAGGGAATCTAGAAGATATTCTAATAAAATTTTTAATCCAATATAATAATCAATTAGCAAATAGATTTCTTTCTCACAAAGGGAACAAAGATCTTATAGTCCTATTAAAAAATATTGGGATCAGTCCAGAGTGTCAGGCTTCCTAGCTGAATAAATATTGATTTTTAAAAAAACTTTTAGAAATAAATTTTATTTTATTTTATTTATTTTTGGGTGTCCATTTGATTGGAAAATCTTTCCCCAACCTTTAACTCTCAGTTAATGTCTGTCTTAAGGGTGAGGT